GTTGGGGATCTCCCCCTTGTCATGCACAGAGCGGGGCCGATCAGGGGGTTGAGGAGCTCCCCCCTGTCACAGAGTAGGGCTGATAGGCGACTTGGGGCACTGCCCCCTGTCACACTCAGGGCAGGGCCGATGGGGAGGTTATGGTTCTACCTCGTCACACACAGAACAGGGCCCGTGAGGGAGAGGGGGTTGGGGTGCTGCCCTCTATCACCCACAGAGCAGGGCTGATCAGGGGGTTGGGGCGCCTTCCCCTGTCACGAACAGAGCAGGGCGGATAGGGAGGTTGTGGCCCCGCCCCCTGTCACACACAGAGCCTCAGGGCGATCAGGGGGTTTGGGCACTGCCCCCTGTCACGCTGATTCCGGTGCTGGGACGCATATTACCCTTTTACTATATAGGATAGAGGCCTGGTGCACGGGTGAGGGCTGGCTGGTTTGCCCTGAGGGTGTCCTGGATCAGGGTGGGGGTCCTGCTTGGGTTCCTGGCCAGCCTGGGTGAGGGGCTGGGGACTGTTTTCAGGCTGGCGGGTGACTGAAGCTCCCAACTGCTCCTTTTTTTCTCTTTTCTTTTTTTTATTCTGGGCCAGCTTTAGCTCTGAGGCTTGGCGCCAGCTCTGATGTTATGGCTCTACCCCGTCATACACGGCTGCTGAAAGCAGGTATCTGGTTTGTTTGGGTTCTATAATTGAAACACTGTTTACACTCCAGCTCTGAGATCCTGGCTGGCTGAAAGCAGGTTTCTGGGGTTTTGTTTAGCTTCTATATTTGTAACAATGTTACAAACTGCAAGCTCAGAGGCCAGCAGCGGCAGGCGGGGAACGTTGCTTCCTCCGTCACTGAAGCAAGCAAGCCTCATGTTCGCTTCAAGCTGCCTGGCTGCCAGTCGCCATCTTGGCTGGCAGTTAATTTGCATATCTCGCTGATTAGCCAATGGGAAGGGTAGCGGAGGTATGGCTAATTACCATGTTTCTCTTTTATTAGATAGGATAATATTACATTGTATGGCTATACTCATTTATACATTTATCAGTTGATGGACATTTGGGTTGTATTTACTTTTTGGATATTATGAATGCTGCTGCTATGAACATTTATGTACAGATTTTTGTGGACATAGGTTTTCAGTAGTCTTGGATGGAATTGCTGGGTCATAGGGTAATTCTTTGTTTAACATATTGAGGAATTGTCAGACAACTTTCCAAAAGTGGCTGCACCATTTTGCAATCCTAATAGCAATTTATGAGAGTTTGATTTTCTCCACTCTGTTTCCAGTACTTATTGTAATATCCTTTTTAAAAAATATCTTTTCTAGCCCAAGTTATTTTTTTTTAAATATATTTTATTGATTTTTTACAGAGAGGAAGGGAGAGAGATAGAGAGTTAGAAACATCGATGAGAGAGAAACATTGATCAGCTGCCTCCTGCACATCTCCTACTGGGGATGTGCCCACAACCCAGGTACATGCCCTTGACCGGAATCGAACCTGGGACCCTTGAGTCCGCAGGTCGACCCTCTATCCAGAGAGCCAAACTGGTTTCGGCCCAAGTTATTTTTTAAATTATTCTTTTTAAATCTTTATTGGTGAAAGGTTTATATCCCCCTTTTTCCCCCATTGATCCCTTTTGGCCCACCCTTACCCCTTGCCCAAGGCCTTCACTACCCGATTGTCTAATCTATATATCATTAAAAAATTTTTTTAGTGAGTTTATTGGGGTAACATTGGTTAATAAAATTATAGGATTCAAGTATTCAAGTGTACAATTCTATAACACAGTATCTGTATATTGTATTATGTGTTCACCACCCGAAGTCAAGTGTCCTTTCATCACCATTTACCGCCCCCTTTACCCTCTTTTACTTCCCTTCATCCCACTTTCCCTCTGGTAATCACTGTTGTCTGTGTCCATGAAATTTTTTTTTAAATCCCGTCACCATTTTCACCTAGCCTCTCTTCCCTCTGACAGCTTGTCAATCTGTTTTCCATATCTGTTAGTCTGTTTCTATTTTGTTTGTTTATTTTATTCATTAGATTCTGTAGTGAGAGACAAATTATATGGTATTTGTCTTTCTCTGTATATCCTTTTGATTTATCCAACCTAGTGGGTGTGAAGTGGTATCTCCTTGTGGTTTTGATTTGCATTTCCCTAATGATTAATGATTGAGCATTTTTCATATACTTTATGGCCATGCTTTGTAGAAATGAGTTTTAGAATCCTTTGCCCATTTAAAAGTTTATTTTTTTTTATTGTTGTCAGTAGTCTCTTTGAACAAATATGGGCGTTGTACACTGATAAATGGCATTTGTATTAGGTGACAGTGAATTTTTTATGTGTGTTAGTGATAGACTATTAGGTTTAACTGGTTGTATCTATCAATAATATTTTAAGTACTGACCTTCCTAAGTATTCCTTTTTTAAATGTTCCTAAGAGTTTACTTTGCAGCGGTTCTCAACCTGTGGGTCGCGACCCCTTTGGCGGTTGAATGACCCTTTCACAGGGGTCGCCTAAGGTCATCCTGCATATTAGATATTTACATTACGATTCATAACAGTAGCAACATTACAGTTATGAAGTAGCAACGAAAATAATTTTATGGTTGGGTCACAACATGAGGAACTGTATTTAAAGGGCCAGAAGGTTGAGAACCACTGCTTTATGGTGACTAAAACAGTCAATAAGGCTTGATTGAGTATGTCTCTATAATAATGAGAAGGCTTAACTTTAATATTTTTGGAATGTCAAAAACAGCAACATTTTAATTAAGTCATTTAAAAATCTAAGCATCAATTTTTTAAAAAATATATTTTATTGATTTTTTACAGAGAGGAAGGGAGAGAGATAGAGAGTTAGAAACATCGATGAGAGAGAAACATCGATCAGCTGCCTCCTGCACATCTCCCACTGGGGATGTGCCCGCAACCCTGGTACATGCCCTTGACCGGAACCGAACCCGGGACCTTTCAGTCCGCAGGCCGACGCTCTATCCGCTGAGCCAAACCGGTTTCGGCTAAGCATCATTTTTTTTTTTTATCTTTATTG